AATATATCCCACCAGTGAAGACAAATTGAGCCAGATCGCCTGTTGTGCGTTAATTTGCAGGTAGGCCCGAACACTTTGTACAAAAATATCTACGTGTTCGGACTGGACAATAAGATAAGCAGGTAAATTTCATCCGAGTAAATTTGCTGTATCTTTCGCTGCATCGCCAACCCAAACCAATGCGGAACAAAGCAGTTCCTCAGATAATTCACTTAACAGTATCTGTACATAGAACACACAAACCCACTACATTACATACCTGCTTTTGGCAGATCCCACCAGCTTTACCATCCTGCGCCACATCACCAACCCAGGCCAAACCAAGTGTACCTCCACCATAGTCTTGGTAGGTAAACAAATGCGCGACGCACACTTCGTCCCAATTTACATTGCTGAATTCCAAAAGGGTTTCGTTCACCAGCGGACCGGCATTGGAAACGGGATTGGGTGTGGAGTCCCACACTGCAAACGGAAAATACATTTATATTTGTTTTCAGACTATTTGAATGTATCTGGAATTTCGTATCCGATATTCCATTATAATACATGTTCATCGCGCAAAATATTTCTCTGATATTTTTGTAAGATCAGCACAGACGTGTACTGTCCAGAAATGCATCCCACACCTGGGCATAAAAGTCTTGCAGTGTCGCAACACGGAGCGAACAAGATGTACGTTGATGAAACTTATTCCAAATTGCCTACAGCGTAGTCTAGGTGCAACGATCATTCCTATCACGCATTTATGAGACCGTGTGCTGTTGTCTGACCTATAGCACAAACGCTTTGGAAGCACGTCATCATCCAATGCATTCTGTGCATCTTGCGAATACGAAATACCACAACGTTCCTGTTTTAACTCGTCAATGAACCAACCACACACCCGTGGGAATAACCTGTACACACTGCAACGGAATACAAACGCCTGTAGTAAATACCGCCCGCGGAGTGCGTATCATACTACGACCTACAAGAGCATGGTCAGTGTACACACCCACATACCTACAAATCCCTACAATATCCAAAGCCTATTTCATGTACACTCCCACATAGCTACCAATCCCTACGATCTCCAGAGCATGGTCAACGTACACTCCCACATACCTATAAATCCCTTCGACGCCAGCTGCACCGTCACACCGGATGTGGAGGAGTAGAAGGGCGTCGACTCGTAGATCTCGTTCACGTGCGTGAGCGCATTCGACATCGAGGCGATAGCCTGTGCGGAACCGCCTACAAAAGAAGCAAGTGTGTCCGTCACATCACATACGGGTAGTACCACGATCATATACTGTGCGAAAACTTGCACGCCTACCTACTGTTGTATGGCCCATGGTATGAATAGGCTTACCTACTGTTGTATGGGACGTGGTACGATTACTGTTGTATGGGACATGGGATGAATAGTCTTACCGACTGCTCTATGGGACATGATATAACTAGTCTTACCCACTGTTGTATGTGGCATGGAATGGTTAGTCTTACCTACTGTTGTATTTGGTATGGTACGGATAGTTCTTACCTACTGTTGTATATGGCATAGTATGATTAGTACAATCACGTGCACATGAAATGGTCAGCACGCATAGCTAAGCCAGTGGCTAACTAGAAGGACAATGTGAGGATCAGCATACGTTGCATAAACATATACTCTACAAGGAAAATGGATAGTCGTTGAATAAGCTACTACTAAAGAGATCGTATGGGTTCCAGTCGCGTGCCGCGAGAAAACTCACGGCCACATCCTTGAGTGAAAGGGATATACGTACAGCCCCTTCGCACACCGTATAACGGACGCACATGCATAGCACCGTCCAACCATACACTCTTGTTCGAGACCAGCATTCAAAACGGTGGCACATGTTTTCAAGCAATGGTTACTATCACACGATCGCATACTATGCTATGGCAAGGGATGTAGGGCTCGGTCAAAAGCCACGTGTAGCACGGCTAATCTCAGCTGTAGATAGTGGGCTTGTCGTGTAGGGTTGCCTGTGGTAAGGCGATGGCATACCACGGAATAGGTACCTGTCTAAACAGAGCCCCCACACATATGATGGGAAATGGCTTCCCGAAGGTCTCTTGACATGCATATTGAGAATACACGATGATATACAGTGTACAGAGAGATATACTGATGTGCATCGTACACATTTAAGACATTCATACATGAACCAATATATGTCGCATAACATCTATATATGGGTTTGCTGACTCACCACTGAAGGCAAAGAAGAGATGATCAGCCACTAGCTTCACCAGGCAGGTGTTAGATGTGGGCGATACGGCCGATTCCTGTCTTCGTTTACGGGCCAATTGGCCAGCACTGCTGTGACCAGTTTCTAGAAATGAGATAGAAAAATGAAAACAAAGGTGACAAATTAGTGTGGATATATATATATATATATATATATATATATATATATAATATATATATATATATATAGTATATATATATATGTGTGTGTGTGTNTATATATATA